ACAGCTTTGCTGTTTGCCAGCAATTGCCAGCAAGCCACAGTAATGAAAACAAAAACTCGCCAAAATAGATAGCGCAAAAAACATCGTTAAATCGTTAATTCGTGAAGTTTGATCTTTCAAATAAGTAATTTTTTTATACAAAAAAGACCAACTTAATTAACTAATGATTTAATGATTTCAAGCCAGGAAAACGAAATGCTCTAAGTGCAGTGTATCGATTTTCAAAAAAAGCTTTGATGTTTGGAGCTTTTCCTCTAGTTCAAGTCAATGTCACACTTTCCGGTTATCTGCGCGAGCGAGCCTGTTGACATAGACGGTCAAAAAAATGCCAGAAAATGAGAAGCTGCTTTTGGCTTCCAGCCGACATGTACGGCTCCTCTTTTGAAGCCAAAAAGTAAATTCAAAAAGTGTATCAAAAGCAGCTTCACCTTTAGGTTTTTTGCCTCACGCAAAACTGACCTCCAACGCTTGAGGCAAACACCTGTGGATCTCAGACAATGTTGACCTCCAGGTTTCTAAACCTTTCAGGTCTTTGTTTTGGTTGCCAGCTAAGCTCCTGTACAGAACTTGAACTAGAGGAAAAACTCCAAACATCAAAGTTTTTTTTGAAAATCGATACACTGCACATAGAGCATTTCGTTTTCCTGGCTTGAAATCATTAAATCATTAGTTAATTAAGTTGGTCTTTTTTGTATAAAAAAATTGCTTATTTGAAAGATCAAACTCAACGAATTAACGAACGTTTTTTTGTGCTATCTATTTTGACTTCAAATGAAAAAATAGGAAACAAATAGTATATACCGCGACGATTTTCAGCTACTACTGCTACTACTCCCGGGGGAAGTAAATTAGCCGCAGAGAATTTGAGGGCTTTGGAGGCCAGATTGAGCTTCTGCAGTCCTTCTTCTTTGCTGCAATTGAGGCTTCCAACATGGCTCATCGGAGGGTGAATAATAGATACTATCAAGACACAAGGGTGTGTCAGCTACTTTTTTGGGCAACTCTGATGGAGGAGGTTGGAGTTCCTTGAAGACAAAAGACAGTGCATAGAGGTTCAACATAGTTGGAGATCAGCCTCGTCTGAGATCCACCTGTAGGCCTTGATCGGCGACTTGAGGTTCTACATACAATAGAAAGATCAGCCCAGTTCCCTGCCCCCAGTTCCCTGTCCCCAGTTCCAGTTCCCTCCCCCCAGTTCCCTGTCCCCAGTTCCCTGTCCCAAGTTCCCTGTCCCCAGTTTGCTGCCCCCAGTTCCCTGCCCGCCAGTTCCCTGTCCCAGTCGCCTGCCCCCAGTTCCCTGTTTCAGGTTCTTGTCCCCAGTTTGCTGCCCCCAGTTCCCTGCCCCCCAGTTCCCTGCCCCAGTTCCCTGCCCCCAGTTCCCTGTCCCAGTTCCCT